ACCTATCATTCTGCCAGTCACAGCAGCATCGATCAGCCTACACACACACACACACACACGCACACACACACAGACACACACACACACACACACACACTCACACACACACCACACACACACACACACACACACACACACACACACACACACCACAAACATTAACGACATGCTGGGCCGAACCCTATCGACTCAGTGGAGTGCTCCGGTATGATATCACTAGACCTAATGAGACTAAGATAAGCCTCATTACCAGCAGCGCTCGCTCTCTCACATGCCAGTCAAATGCAGGGCTATTCTGCACCAGTTTTAACTCCCCTATGGTTCCGCCCTCTCCCCCTTTTGTTGTCATAGTTCTCACACAGAGCATAAACAACCCAAAGCCCCAGTGGGACAAACACATGGGCGAATGTAAACACACACCCAGATGTATTGGGATCTGCACACACTTACGCTCAGGTGTAAGTCCTCGAAGGACACAACACCCTCTGTCCCTTAAGCAGTCACACACACCGCCTTCTTTTCTCACTTCCTCCTAACCTCCGCCCTCAGGAGAAAGATAGACGTTTTCAAGTTATTTATTAGTATACGCATACAGAATAACAGTGGAGGAGCTGCTGTTGGCAATGAATATATTGGATAATTAAATATGTATTTAAAAAAAAAGTGACACCCAGGTTAAAGCAAATATGAAGCTTAAACATAAGAGTTTGATGTCAAAATATAGAGCTGACGTAATAACAAAGTAAAAATAATAAGCTAAAACAAGTGTTATAAATGGAAATTAGAATGTTTTTGTATTCCTTTTTTAATGGCTGAGGTGCAATTTGAACAGGTGGGTTTCTGCTGTGAGGGAAGATGTGTGTGAATGATATCAGCAGAAAGTCACACACACATCCTACACTTCATATACCAGATGTGTCATCCCATTTGTACGTGTGTGTGTGTGTGTCTGCTGAACGACAGGCAGCAGGCACGGGTGTTTTAGCCACAGGCGTCACTACCTGACCCCCGTGGCTGTAAGATTGACAGCTGTGGTCCCGCCTAATTGCATTACTCTCCCAGGTGATTGGCTCACACCCTGGGGGCTCATTTGTCAGGATGCATTGTGGTAATGATGTAAATTAGCAGATCTATGTGTCACTCAGCCTTCTCGCCCCCTGCTGATTGGCCCCGCTGTGCCCCAGGGCCCGGCCCCTAGCTGAGGGAGCCAGCTCATTGGTCCTTTGGGAACCAGGAAGTCCCCTAGAAATATGGCTTTCAGAGTGGGCATCCCTGTGGGCTGATATTATCCTTCCTCCCACCTCTTTAACTGTCAGTCAAACCAGGAACTGATCCCTGCAGCCTCTATCTGAGACATAGATACACCCACACTCACACATTTACACACAGAGACATGTAGGTGGTAGGTGCCACCCATAATAGCCCCATGTCGACTGAGAGCCTTTACACACTCCGTTATAACCGTATAAAGGTACACACATATAAAGTGTGTGTGTGTGTGTGTGTGTGTGTGTGTGTGTGTGTGTGTGTGTGTGTGTGTGTGTGTGTGTGTGTGTGTGTGTGTGTGTGTGTGTGTGTGTGTGTGTGTGTGTGTGTGTGTGTGTGTGTGTGTGTGTGTGTGTGTGTGTGTGTGTGTGTGTAGAATTGAAATAAAGGCCACAGGCTCAGGCTCTGTTCCCCACTGCTAACACAGCATGCCTTAGCTATGTCCTCTATCAAAAGCAGACAACTTCACAGTGACAGACAGGCAGCTAAAGCAAAAATAAATAGACCCACACACATACACACACACACACACACACACACACACTTGAGCTCTCCGGTTTCTTTGCCTTGCCTGTTTGTGTCAAAAGCTTAAATTGTTAGTTATAATACGTGTCTGGTGGAGGCAGCGATGTGTATTACAGCTCTCCTGTAGTGTTGCTGAATGGTTTGGTCGGTGTTTCTGGGTTCTTTGTTAAACTTACTGTTATATGAGGCCGAATATGAATAAAGACTAAATAATGTCAGCATCAGCATGAATCAATACTTATACAGATGCACAATCACTGGGTCTGGACCTCAGCCTGTGATCAATAGTTTACTCTGAGTTATTGTCTTCATATTAACAAGCAGAGTGCTCCCTGAGGAACATGTATGAATGGCTAAATGAGACCACTCCAACCCTCTCAACAGGACCTGGTGTTGTTTTTACACCCTCCTTTGTTTGACTTCAGACACAGCATTGCAAAAGCCTTTTTGGATACATTTGGATGCACTGTAGGTGTTTCCAAAACACTCAGGTCCTCATGAAACTCTAATTGCCTGCTCTATGCGACTGAATGTCCCTCACATAGATCCAAGTATCGACTCGCGTCCCTTAAGTCAGTGTTTGTCCAAATTATGATTTTTTTTAAATCTAAGATTATTCGTAGATCAATTTGTATTTCTTGTGACTCAAAAATGCAGACAAATATCAAAACAAGTCGCAAAAGAACTGAAAAAGTTTTGGAATGAGCTCTTGTCATGAAAAAAATATACTAAATATAAGTCATCTGTGTAAAAGAATATTAATAACAGTATCATGAAATTACTCTTTGTGTAATGCGGTCATGTCATCTCTGCTAGTTCCGCAGTGTGTTGGTGTGTGTGTGTGTGTGTGTGTGTGTGTGTGTGTGTGTGTGTGTGTGTGTGTGTGTGTGTGTGTGTGTGTGTGTGTGTGTGTGTGTGTGTGTGTGTGTGTGTGTGTGTGTGTGTGTGTGTGTGTGTGTGTGTGTGTGTGTGTGTGTGTGTGTGTGTGTGTGTGCATGTGTGCATTACTGACTGAGCAATCATTCTAAATTAGAGATGTTTAGAGATGTTTGTGGTTGATTTTGGTAAAGCCCCTGTAAAAACTCTCTCTCACGGAAAATAACTTCCCATGACGTGGCACATGTGCCAAACACACACACGTAAACACACACCGATGCTCGCACACCCCTTTATGTGCCGCACCTACCATCCTCCTTTACCCGCTACTTTGCAGTAAATGTGTTAACTAACCTGTATTAAGTCTCCGACACTACTTGGCAGAGCGTGAGAAAGCAGTGAGCATGATGGGTAATTGCCATGCTGCACGCAGTGTCTACAGGAGCAAGCTTTATGAGATGACGGCGGATGAGGAGAGGGAGAAGATTCCTTTTGACAGTTGCACGTTTTTAAAACTGTGACCAAAGTAATCAGCCTGCCTACACTTTATCAATACTTGTTGTCTTGTTTAAAGCTGATATTAGGGAAACATGTCTATTTGTGTGACCGATAATGAAAATGTCTTGGAGAAAGCGCAGATTGTGGCATGAGTTTGTGCCTCCAGCGTTTATGTGTTTAGGGGCAATAATTGATTTCTGTGTTATGCCCCGCAGGGCTTGTCCCACATCTCTAAACCCACACACACACACACACACACACACACACACACACACACACACACACACACACACACACACACACACACACACACACAGAAAGGCATGCTGCAGTATTAATGAGACATGAATAAGACATGAAGAGAGACCCCCCTCTTACATGCTCACACAGGGTCTCCCCCTCCCCAGCTGCTTCCTGTCTGCAGATTACCCTGCTTTCACTAGGCTCTGGTTAAGTGGGGCCAGGAAGAGATTTAGCCCCCTCAGCAGGAGCGGACACACACATATGCTCATGGGCGCACACGACGTGCACACACATACACACACCCACACTTACTGTAATAAAACATCAGAAAGTATCTGCTTTATTGTTGTTGACATGGTTTTAGAGGATCTAAATACGTTTACACCTCTATCTTAAAACAAACACAATTAAGCAATTAAGCAAACATGTAAATGTTGTTTGTGTGAGAGTTAAGAAATATTTCTTCAATTTGAGTTTTTTGTGGGATGTGTTTGGAAGCAGTCTAGCCTCAGCATAATGGCACTGTTTTTAACAGCGAGTGTATGTTGTTGCAGTTCAAGTTGTGACCTTTTATATGTTTTCTTTGCAGGCGACGTCCTGCCCAGGACCCGTGGCTCTCAGCTCGCAGGTCCATGCTGCCGCTGTCAATGGAGATAGGAGCGCCCTCCTCAAACTCATCACAGGTAAATGGCTTTAAACATATTACACTACATACAGCGTGTCACATCAAGACTCACTTTTATAAGAAGTAAAGTGTTACTTTTTGTATTGCTATAAGGAACATTTCTTTGCATTTGCCCCATCTGTAGAGGGTCAGAGAGCAGGGACAGCTGCAGCAGCTGCTAGGAGTTTGGGGTTTTGCACAGAGAAATCAGAGCAGGTGCAGCATGGTAGATTGAACCGTGGTCCATCTGCTAAATCATCCACTCTTCTGCCAAAGTGCTGACATTATCTGGACATACAGCAATATTGTTATGCAATCTTCCGATGTAGAAAAATTAAGTCTTATTCTTAGAAATGTCTGAAAAAATATATTAACAGCCTCAAAAGATGATCATCGCATATTCTCTTCGTCTTCACAACCAAACAGCTTCCAGCTGTTCCAAGTACATTTTAAAATGTGGAAGCGTATTTCCTATTAAATGCAAGTAGTAAAAGACTGCAATTTAAATAAAAGGAATTCCCTTTATAAACAATTTATAACATTTTCCATCACAAGCCACTTAATTGTACTTTTTTAATTAATTGCATATTCCCTTAAATCTTGGTCTCTATTAACGCTTACCCGCTGACTCATCGTGTGTGTGTGTGTGTGTGTGTGTGTGTGTGTGTGTGTGTGTGTGTGTGTGTGTGTGTGTGTGTGTGTGTGTGTGTGTGTGTGTGTGTGTGTGTGTGTGTGTGTGTCTGGATGCAGCAGAGCCGTCACTGCGGGACAGAGAGGACCAGTTTGGCCGGACCCCCCTGATGTACTGTGTTCTGGCCGATCGCCTGGACTGTGCAGAGATTCTGCTGAAGGCCGGAGCCTCTGTCAACAAGACCGATCAAAGCCAGCGCGCTGCTCTGCACCTAGCCGCTCAGAAGGTCTGAACTTCCACAAAGACACAACGTACACTGGAGCTGCTTCACATCAGCCTATTTTATAGCATAACATTGTCAAAGTTAAGTCAAAGCAATTCATATATGGATTGATTTTTTTTTATTCAAAATGAATATGAAGACTAAGTGGGATCTCTAACTGTGAGGGTCCAGTGGGAAGCCAGTGCCCCCTAGTGGCTGAAGTTGTAGTTTAAGGGTTTATGGGGGGAATATCAACTGATTTATAATCCTGCCACACAAACACTAAAATGTAATTCACGCACAGTCTTTGAAATATTATTATTTTGAATGGAGAAAGGGCCGTTTCAAAAATGTTTTGCCCACCCTTCTATATCAAACAAGGGGAGATTCATGTTATATTCACTTCAGTCTAGACTGAGGAACAGTGAGAGGAGAAAATAATAATTAGACAGGGTGGCGGGTTGTCTCTCGAGTTATGTGGTGCTAATAATAACTCTTTACAACTCATTTATTTATCTGTGCCTCCTTTTATGGGAGTGTACAGATTCAGGAACATCATATCATTGAAGAAAGAGGGGAGGTAATTGGGGTCTGTCTCATAGATTGTGTGTGTGTGTGTGTGTGTGTGTGTGTGTGTGTGTGTGTGTGTGTGTGTGTGTGTGTGTGTGTGTGTGTGTGTGTGTGTGTGTGTGTGTGTGTGTGTGTGTGTGTGTGTGGGGGATGCTAGCGGTGGGAAGCCCTGTCTCTTTGACATCTGATCAATAAGTGGCTGAGACAGGAAGAGAGGCCAGGGATTACCGATCTAATTGGACTGAGAATAGGGAGGACGGGAACACACACACACACACACAAAACACACACACATAGTCTAGATGCATGCTCACACACTAGATAGATCTGTCAGACTGTGGCGATATGTTCAAATATACAAATCACACTCACACGTGCATACGGCATGGCAGCATCGTATCTCACACCCTGCCATCCAGCGACAATACATCACCTGACAGGAGTGGTGAGAGACCAAAAGTAAGGAGGACGAGGATGATGATGATGATGATTATGATGATTATGTGTGTGTGTCATTGCCGCTCGTTCGTGACTAATATTGAGGAGAATTGGTGATTTCTGAGAATATTTTGCTCGTGTGTCGCAGGGGAATTTGCGTTTCCTGAAGCTGCTTCTGTCCAGGCGAGCTAACTGGCTGCAGAAAGATTTAGAGGAGATGACCCCGCTCCACCTTGCCACCCGACACCCCTCCCAAAAAGCCCTCGCCTTGCTGCTTAAACACATCGGACCTGGAGAGGTTGACACCCAAGACAAGAACAAGGTAATACAGTAAAGTTATACACTCTAAGTTGTTGGATGATGGTGTCCTCAGTTCGCCCTCAGTCAGAAACCAGCCAGTTTGGGCGTCCAATAACCTGCAAAGAGATAACTGACAGACTGAAGATCCTTCATAGAAGCAGCAGGAATTTAATGTCACACACACACAAACACACAGAGGCACACTCACACAGCAGTGGACGACATAACAATCTGTGGCTTTGTCCTGTGTTCTGCTGATAAAACCACAAACACACAAACACACAGCCCTTTGTCCGTTTGGGCTGATTTGTATCTGACATCAGTAGTTGGTTTTGTAATAATCCAATATGCATCATCGTGTCAGATGACAGTGGTTTCGGTAAATCTCAGAATAGCTCAGTAGCCGTCATGGCAGCACTATCTGAGTTACAATCTCAGCTCACTGCCGGATCTTCAATAAGAGCTTTGTGAAGCACGTAGCCCTCATAATTCCTGTCAGAGTGGAGTAATTTATTTTAAAGTGAATGGAAACCTCAAACCTGGTTTTATAACGGCCTCCTCTGTTTTGAACTCCATTCATCATCTTGGGCACTTTTTATCTAATTTTCCCTCTCTTTGTCTCTGCAGCAAACGGCTCTCCACTGGTCGGCTTTTTATAACCGACCAGAACACGTTCGCCTCCTGATCAAGCACGACTCCAACATTGGCATCCCAGACAGTGAGGGCAAGATTCCTCTGCACTGGGCAGCGCACAGTCAGGAGCAGAGCGCTACACAGACTGTCCGCTGCATACTGGTACACACTACTGTACACACACATACACATTCATACATATCCACACTCACATGAATCGGTCATAATCACATTTCATCTCCACTTTTTAAACAAAAAAGCTTCTTTACTGTGTTTGTCTTTTTCTGTGTGTTTGTGTGTGTGTGCCTGAGAAGGAGGCAGCTCCCACTGAGTCCCTGCTGAACTGGCAGGACTATGAGGGGCGGACCCCCCTGCACTTTGCGGTTGCTGACGGTAACGAGGCAGTGGTGGAGGTGCTGACGTCTTACGGGGGTTGTAATGTGACAGCTTATGATAACCTCTTCAGAACCCCGCTGCACTGGGCAGCTCTGCTCGGTGAGTGAACACACTTCCTGTATGTGACCTGCTGCGGCCTGAATGACTGATACACACCAACAATATGGATTTCCCCCAAAAAATAATTGAAGCCAAAATGGCAACATTTATTATTAGCTGCACATTTAGATAATGTTTTTTTTATTTAATCCATGCTAGCATTGTGTCTCTAGGGCAAGGATACCGTACTCGCTTTACTGTAGGGGCTGCTTTTGCAAAGTGACATAAGGTAAGGGGCCAGTTACGACATTTAGGCTTAGGCTTAGCTTGGACCTCTGTAGGGAACTGTGGCACTTTAAAACAAATAAACAAGCTATATTAAGTCTTAAATTCTTAGATGAATTACTATGAAATGGTGTACAGACATTTATGGTCACAAGAACATGAATCATACTGACTGTGATGATGGCTGACATTTTAAATCTTGTGCCAGGTGACATTCCCATGAGCATTGTTTTTGTGCTAATTAGCACATGTTAGAATGTATAACCAGGATGATTGGAATAGTCAAATAGAGTGGTAGGTAGGTGTGTAAGTGACAGTTGACTTTTGCTGACTTGATGAGGAGTTTCTTGCTTTTCTGTTACCAGTTCTGTGAAAGTCAACTGAAATTACAAGGGGCCTTTGTATAACCAAGCAGTTGTCCTAACTCCTAACTGTAGATCCTTTTTCATTATCAGTCCCCCTCACATCCCACTAATGTAAACGTGTTTTTCAGGCCATGCCAAAATAGTCCACCTGCTGCTGGAGAGAAACACTTCAGGCACTATTCCCTCAGACAGCCAAGGAGCAACACCTCTGCACTATGGGGCTCAGAGCAACAATGCTGTGAGTCTCATTCAATGAACACGCAGAACTGGGAATCCTGCTGAGTCAGCATCATGCATCTTTATCCAAAATGTAATATCGTTGATAATGAAATAAAGCGGTCTCATTATGTATGTTCAGCATCTCTTTTAAAATCCCAAAACTAAATCACACAAAAACTAACTGCCCGTCTCTGTGCGCTTGTAGGAGACAGTGGGTGTGTTTCTGTCCCACCCGTCTGTCAAGGATGAACCCGACCTGGAGGGGAGGACGGCTTTTATGTGGGCCGCTGGGAAGGGCAGTGATGATGTCATCCGCACCATGCTGGCCCTCACCCCTCACATTGACATCAACATGGCCGACAAGTACGGAGGCACCGGTGAGCTCCTGAGAAACAGGGGGGGGCAACTGATGCTCCTAACAAATGTGACCAACACCCACAACGTTGCCCCTCTTCCTCTCTTTTTTGGCATTGCAACAAACAAGCCCTGTTGATTATTCTGTACACAAGCACACACACTTTTATTAAAGATACCCAATAATATACCAGGCCGATAAATTGTTGACAATGCATATTTGTATGTTATGTTTCCTGGAAGAATCTCAAAATAATATCAGAAATGAATCACAGGGTTTAAAAAGTTAAGCAGATTTCTTATGGACAGGCTCAATCACTTCTGTGATGAGAAGTAAGACGGTGTAATTAATCATTATTGGTCATTTTGTTATTTTAGGAGTCGGTTTTAGAGTTTTTAAGTGGTGTTTCTTTGTAAATTAAATACCCATTGTTGACTTCAGATTACAATTTATTTTTGTTTTGGATTGCGTGTCGTCAACCCCGCTTGGACCACTATTTAAATAAAGTTATGATAGTTATGATTTCTCTATCCGTAATAGGCCATGAGAAGCAGGTCCTTTTTGGCTGTCAGTATCCGCTTAGAAAACTCAATATGTGCATCCCTAATATTGTTTTTTCAGAGCATGGCTTTCTGCTTGTTTTAGGCTAGGGGTGATGATGTCACAGGGGATTCCTCTAAAGGTGCAAGAGAGACTGAGGTAGAGAAGGAAGTGATACTGTCAGCAAAATCAGTGTGAGCCCGCTGAATAGACTCCCTTCCCTGCCAGCACTGTCCTCTGACACACACACACACACACACAACACTCACATATGCACACACAACTTACTGCCATGCACTGACTCCCAGGGCTGTTTAGACGTAACATCTCCATGGCAATAACCCCCTCTGCTCAACCAGGCGTTCATTGTTTATGCATGCAGAACATGCAACGGTTGAGTCATCCTAATGAGACGGTGTGAAGGGCAGTGGAGCTGACTGGTGCCCCGAATACTTCCATGCACTTGACTTTAGTCGGTGCTGTCTGGGGACTGGACAGAGGCTGAGGAGGGGGGGGGGGACCAAGAGGCTTAAGTGCATCATTAAATGTCTCTGCCTGTTTAACCCGCCATTGACCAGGCCTTAGCCACAACCATAGATTATCATTAACCAATAGATGGACAAAGGACAGGCGCACAAGAAAGGAGAAGTGTTCCTTAGGCTGTTTATTGTCCAGTTAGATTCAGGAACCTCCATCTTGTTTTAAATGTGTGTGTGTATTTGTGTGTGTTCCAACAGCACTGCATGCGGCCTCCCTGTCAGGCCATGTGAGCACAGTGAAGCTGCTGCTGGAGCGGGGAGCGATGGTCGACTCTTTGGATGTAATGAAACACGCGCCGCTGTTTCGGGCTTGTGAGATGGGACACAGAGATGTCATTCTCACACTCATCAAAGGTTAGTCTTGTAATTGGTACACAGTTGGTGCAAGCGTCCTAATAACTACATAATATCCGTTTCAGTACCACAGCGTTTTAAGTATACATTATTATTTATTTATGAAAAAAGGTTCTGCAAGCGTGGACCTGGTAGACGTGGATGGTCACACTGCGTTGCATTGGGCAGCTCTTGGAGGCAATGCTGAGGTCTGCCAGATACTCATGGAGAATGGGATCAGTCCCAACGTACAGGTATTAATGCGTACACTCAAAACATACACATACACCTCTGGTACAAAGCACTTCTGTTTCTTTAAATCCCTTTTTGATGCTCACCATTCACATGTACATATTCTTAATAAGATATTCAAGTCGTTTTTCTTGTTTTCCATCCTTAATCCTTGTTTATTGCACTAGAACATTTCCAGTTTAGCAAAAGGAATCCCTAGGGGTCATTTCAAATCAATTTAGTCAAAATGACATGTTCTCACCATTCATCTGTTGCACTTGTCCATCTGTATACGCCCACATTTGATGGCAATGAATACTACTACATTTCAAAATATATATAAATGTAAACCCTCATTTGATATGAAAAACAGCTTTAGCATTCTGTACGTTTTGGCTGCACCACACAGGGAAATCTATCCACTGAACCTAGATTGCAGATTTGTCGGCTCGAGCAGCATGTCCAGTATAAATCAAAGGATAAATGTGGAAATGAAATCCTCCTCTGCATTGCTTTACAAGCAGTGTGTATAAAAGCAGGGAGAAGCTCTTAAAAGTCACCTATTTATTATGTAAATCCACTTTTTCATGTATTTTATACATAAACATGCGTCCCCTCTGTGTAAAGAGATTCTGAAAGTTTCAGGAAAAAAGATTCGCTCACTTTTTGTCCTGATCCATTTATATAAAAACTAGGGCTGTCAAACGATTACAATTTGTAATCAGATTAATCACAGCTTAAAAATTAATTAATCATGATTAATCACCATTCGAACTATGTCCAAAATATGCCATTTATTTATGTATATTGTTGTGGGAATGGAAAGATAAATGAAAGAAGGCGGATATATCCATTTAAGTATGTATGTTTATTATAACATTTTTCTGCGTGTCAAAATGAAAGACAACCCACACACCTATCAATCATCAAACCGTGGGGTCTTAATCCATTACGTGTTGATTTCTATCAACGGGGGAGTACTTCAGGAAAGTCGACAGAGGGGGGGCGGCTAGTGGAGTACTTCGTGACCACAGAGTGTGAACATTGTGATCAGCTGTTTTAGCGCAGTTCTCCAGTGAAGGGGGGAGTCTCCCTCCGCAGACGGTTGGCGTAGTTTTGGCACAATTCCGTTGCACACGGAGACCGACTCTGTCGTCCGGTGATCTAACCGCCTTCTGGAAAAGCTTCACAAGTACGTCAGTACGCAAATGCGTTTTGTGACACAAGTGACGGTACGCATTTCAGATTATGCACATAACCTGCGTACCAGTTATGTGCACCCCTGTACTACAGCAAAAGTATTCTCCGTCGGGACTTCCTGCAACAACACCACGCCGTTATCAAATATGTTCTATGGAGAAGACGATCACTACGTGACAAAAGTTTTCAAAACCGTGGCTACTGAAATCAATCTTACTAACTGCTGTCTGTGCAATTTACTCCGCGCGAGTTGGCAGACTTTATTTTGCTTTCTTTAACATCATTTTTCATGGTGGGGCTAAGCCATTTCTTGGTATGGGTGTAGCCTACCCCAGCCATACCCTGGCGCTGCCACTGGTGGCACGTATGGGGCGGGCCATTCTGCACATGCGTTAAATGCGTTAAATATTTTAACGCAATTAATTCAAAAAATTAATTACCGCCGTTAACGCGATAATTTTGACAGCACTAATAAAAACCTGTCTGAAAATGAGCTGATCAGATTTTGGCCACTTTATGATGTCATAACGATGTGTTGGCTTGTGTAACCATTAGCCAATCACCCACCAAGGTAACCCCCCCACACCTTATCACCTGAATCTCCTCCTAGAGCACCATTGTGTTCTTTTTAACCAAATATCTCTCAGAGGGGCGTGGGGAGGGGCTCCTTATTTTCATCTGAATATAACAGACAGAGAATCAGCACTTTTGAAACAGGGCTGAAACAGAGGAGTTTATGGGATGCTGCAATGCACGATCTGTTGGGTATTTTGAGGCCAAACACTTCAGAGACATGTTTTGTATATATCTGAGACCTATAATATATTGATGAAAAACAGTACCTTTAAATCCTGAGCTATTTTAAATTGTCCTGCGCCTGACTGTTAAATATGTGACTTCTCCTGGGTAGGACCAGGCAGGACGGACTCCTCTGCAGTGTGCTGCTTATGGCGGATACATCACCTGCATGGCTGTGCTCATGGAGAACAATGCTGATTCAAACATACAGGACAAGGAGGTAAAAAAAAGCGTATATATGTGAGCTATGTTGAGATTTTGGACACAACTGTAGTTTGAGTAAGTGCTTTTTTTTATGGGTGCAAAGGGGCGGACAGCTCTCCACTGGTCATGTAACAATGGCTACCTGGACGCTGTGAAACTGCTGCTGGGATACAACGCCTTTCCTAATCACATGGAGCACACTGAGGAGAGGTGAGAGCCTGTCAAGAGGAAGGATCAGCGGGTGAGGAGAGGGTGAAATACATGAATGACTGTGGTGTTTGTGTTGTGAAGGTACACCCCTCTGGACTACGCTCTGCTGGGGGGGCACAGTGAGGTGACTCAGTTCATGCTGGAGCACGGCGCTCTGTCCATAGCAGCCATCCAGGACATCGCTGCTGCCTCCATCCAGGCGGTCTACAAGGGCTACACCGTCCGCAAGGCCTTCAGGGAGAGGAAGCAGCTCTTCATGAGGCACGAGCAGCTGCGCAAGGATGCAGCCAAGTGAGAGAGGAGCACACACACCTACACACTTCCATATTTGTGTATATAGACATACAAAGGCCACACATGAAGTGAAGCATCATGATCACTCACTGCTGTTTCTGTCTCCGTTATCTGTCTCTGTCTTCTTCTTCTTCTTCTTCTCGCCCCCATAGGAACAGTCACACTCTCTTCATATCTATCTTTCTCCCTGTCATCCCTGCACACACATACATCTTCCCCCTGTCTCTCTCTCCTGGCTTCTTCTCCTGTTGCCATTTGCTCACCAGTCTCACCTTTATTCTGTCTTACATAACGCTTGATTTAAACTCTTCTCATTATTTCAAGCAGGAAGTATTGAGTCTTGATGATGTGTTTTTCATATAAACAACAACAAATATCTCACCTTCTTATTAGGGCTGCTCGATTATGGCAAAAATCATAATCTCGATTATTTGGATCAATAATTGTAATTGCGATTATTCATTGACTTGAAAACATCCATTTATTGGAGAAAAACATTTGAACAGTATGCTTTTAACAGTTGATTACCCTGAACTTTAAGTATAATTCAACTGAAAACCAAAAAATAAATACAAATAAATAAAGTAATAATAATAATAAAAGAATAATCGTTTTATTCCGATTACGTAATCGTTGCAAGCCATAATCGTAATCGCGATTAAAATACGATTAATTGAGCAGCCCTACTTCTTATCTTATCATATTTCCGATTTCCTGATTGATAACCAAGCTGTGAGACATTTTTCTTGCTCCACGACTAAAAACCATAATTTTAAAACAGTTTAACAATTTTATTTGAGTAGTTATAACATAGCTTAAATGCATTAACCTAAGGCCGCGATTAGAACGAGCGCTTTTCTTTTTGTCAAGGAAACGAGGAGAAGAAGAACAGCGCAGGAGAGAAGCTGTGCAGCTAGTCTCTGTGGACGCTGCAGAGAAGAGAAGGGGCCCTTTGGTGAAAACAGAGCAGGACCAACTTGTGAATATTATAGAGGACTTATCCATAAATGACTCTGTGGTGGAAAAAAAGAGATCATCAAAAGCTGAACGCACCAGAAGCAAAGAGGAGAGACTCAAAGGTACAAAAGTGTTTGTCAAAATAATTCTGAGTGTCTTTCTCATTTGAGCATGCAGTATGAGCGGTTATATAAACTGACAAAATGACAAAAACTCCAAGAAGATTAGTTGGAATAAAAAGCCGCTTTTCTACAAGTAGACGCAAAAAAAGGAGCAGTGTTTTTAAATATAACCTCTTTGATGACTCATGTCTTCTTTTTATCCCACCAACCCAATAGCCCACAAGAGCAAATCCTCCAGAAAAAGTAAAGCATCTGAACCACATGAGGTTCATGATGCTTTGATCCGCCACTGTCATGTGCCCGGTGCTCTCCAGACCACCAGGCTGAGGGAGCTCTCTCCTGCCGGCTGCAGCCCTCCACCCAGCCTCAAACCTCGACCCCCCTCCACGCCCAGAGTCAGGGAACGCCCCTCTTCAGGCACGTGCATTCCTTCCATCAGCGTCGCAGGGACAGACACTATTAACAGAGAATTTATCCCTCTGAGAAAGAAGGATGCTCACATGACTGTGCACACTGCCGCTGGCAAGGATGATGCCCCCGCTGCTCTACAAAAGCACAGAAACCACAAAGAGCAGACTTCAGAAAAGGCCGCCACCAAAGACCAAACTCTCATTCCCTCATTAAGAGGCAGTTCATCTTTAGATCATAAAAGCCCCTCAAGAAAGACTCAGTCTGCCACACAAGCACCCATCTCAACACGCACGCACAAGGAACACAACAAAGAGCAGCGCAGGCGGAGGAATGAGGCTGCGTGCATCATCCAGCGAGCTTGGCGGAGGTGAGTTTGTGTTTGTGTGTGTGTGTGTGTGTGTGTGTGTGTGTGTGTGTGTGTGTGTGTGTGTGTGTGTGTGTGTGTGTGTGTGTGTGGTGTGTGTGTGTGTGTGTGTGTGTGTGTGTGTGTGTGTGTGTGTGTGTGTGTGTGTGTGTGTGTGTGTGTGTGTGTGTGTGTGTGTGTGTGTGTGTGTGTGTGTGTGTGTGTGTGTGTGTGTGTGTGTGTGTGTGTGTGTGTGTGTGTGTACCTGGAGGGGTGTTCAGTAGCCGAAGCCTCTCTGGCGGTGGGAGATTGGCAGTGTCATGTGGTGCCCACATGTGCACTCTCCCACATACATGCCACCTTCTCATCTCTCATGTAACCCCCCACCCTCCATCTTCGGTCTGGATGCCATCAACACTTGAGCAGTGGGGGGGGAGAGCGTGGGAGAGGGGTGAGACAAGGAGGCAGGGGACAGACAGGCTATAATTTAGAGCTTTCATACCGGTTTAACAAGAGGCTAAAAGTTCAGCCGTGCTGCTCTAATAGCTACCAGCAGCCTCTCTTTGCTTTTCTCTCCCTTTTACGCACTGTGTTCCTCTGAGAGGCTGCCCGTCCGCAGCGGGAGGCCCTCTGTTTCCATTCAGCTTCACCATTATATTCTGTATGTGCTGACTATTAACTGCCTTGAATAAACTTTGTTTACTTTGTTTATGCTTGGTGAATATTACTGTGAGGTTTTGCCAGCTTTTAAACCTTTGAACAGTCTGAATTATTTTTTATTTAACATCGTGTATGTGCGTCTCCAGGTTCCACACACGCAGAAGGAGGAAGGTACAAGCCTGCAAAGAGGCGGAGTCAAGTGATTCAAACCACGCCCACAAAGGGAAGAAGATGGACATCCGAGCCCAACCCGCCAAACTGTCAGCGAGTAAGAGCTCAGTTCTACAAAGTATCTACGGTAAGATCACTGGTTTTTTTGCGTTTTGTATCTTTGGTACAAACCAAAGATAAATAAAAAAATATCCAAATTCAACAGGGTTTCTACATACATTGTGTGGGGGAACTTCTGTGTAGCAATGCAGGAGGAGTCACAGACTCAAAGGAGACACGGGGAGAGCTGGAGCTTTGATGGCAAACGCTGATGGGTTTATTTGGAGCTTCGGCCAGAGAATTCACAAAACAAGTCAAAGAATCAGAGGTGACTTCACGGCAGAGTTGCCACGTCAATTCTGAAGAAATAGACCCGGCCTAGACCCATGTATTTAGTCCAGAGAGAATAATCAACATTGTGCATAACAAGATAGAATCATAACACCTCTATCAGCTGACGCCAGCAGGCAGGAACAGGGAGACAAAACACTGAGAGCACAGCGGCCAAGGTTATAGGTGCGTGTGCTCAGTCATGGGCCTTGGAAAATATTTCCCCAACACATTGCAAGAAGGAATTAACATCAAACAATTTAACTTCAACAAGATAAAATACTTTTGAATAAAAAAGAAACATGTTCAACTTCTTGTGGTGTTTATAAGTAACTCCCTTCCTAAACAGGAATTGTTTTTTGATATTCAAATGTTTGTTTTTGATCATTAGGGATAAAAAATCAGGCCCCAGGGAGAATTGAACTCCCGACCCCTGGTTTACAAGACCAGTGCTCTAACCACTGAGCTATAGGGCCCTGTGAAGGAGCTCTTATTTGATTAACATTATAAAGTCACCTTGAACAATCATGGGTGTGGATCCTGACAAGTTCAACAAGTTAGAGGAGTGTCCTGAGCTTTGTTATGCAGCACCGGGTGACTGAATAGGGAAATTCAAATGACATGATATGTTACTTCTTAGACATCACATGACGTTACTACAGGGTTCCCTGGGCAACCATATGCCCAGTTGAGGTGGTTCATTTCCAGATTCTTAGTCACCTGGCCATACCTTTCTTTTTTATTACACTCTACATTTTTTTAATTTTTTTATTGAAGACACATAGAAAAGGCATTTGGTACATTGACAGGGACCTCAGTTCAAAGCTACTAGTAACCATTTAGTCTCTACTATTGTGCATCAATTGACAGGCATACAGTATTTAAGCCACCTTCATAACTCAAACAGACCAGATAGCCAACATATAAGGGAGTAGTGTACCGACTAACAGAACTAAACAAGATGATAATAATAATAAAATCTAAATAATAATACTAAAACAATACAAAGACAAAAAATGTATATAAATACATAATAAAGAGGGAAAAAGGGGGGGGGGGGGGGGGGTGTCCATCAATCAGTAGACAAAAATGCAAGAGATTGGAAGAAGGTTAAGAAGGGTTGCCACTTAGTGTAAAACATAGAGGTTCCGCCTCTTAAGGATTCTCCAATTTTAGAAAAGACATGACATCGCTGCGCCACTTAGCATTGGAAGGAGCTTTTTTGGATTTCCAGTGAAGAAGAAGAAGTCGTCTTGCCAATAACGAAGTAAATGCCAGAATATCCAATTGCCCCGAGTTGTATCTGTTGTAATCTTCTGGGCTACACTCTACATTTATGACACATTTGTAAGGATTTACAACCTGGGATGTTTAAATGGTCCTATACCTGAGACAGGATACTGATGCTGGAAAGCATGGCACAAATACACTGCGGCCCCTGGTCTGTCATTGGATTTGTTGATGGCAAAAATAATGAATATCGCCAGCCTTATCCTTAAATAATAAACCTACTGTGAATTATTGTCTGTACTGTCCCTTGAGTAGAAACTTTCATGCATGCTGTGTCAGTGATGTTAAAACGGCTGTCTTGTTTACGATGCGAGCAGATGTGCAGAATTCTGTAGATTATAGTGAGTCGTTCAAAAGCAGCATTTTGATAACCTACAATATGAGAACTATGGCTCGAGGTACATACAAACACACATTGGAAGCAGATCATCAGGATGGTTTTGGTACCAGTGTAGAACACAGTGAGCGACAAACAGGAACCTGTGTAGATGTCTGGGCAACGCTCGGATCACACAGCAGGACAGTATCAGCCGGCTGTCCTGTGTGGAGCCTCTGGAGCTTTCACCCCTCAGACAGGCCTGACCTTCATCACACATCACCAGGTGATGATGGGGGAACAGGCAGAAACCTTGCTGCGCCAAAACATACAAGCATGCACACCGTCACTGATTACAGACAGACGGATAGATAGACCCCCGACGTGGTTTCCCCCTCCCCTTTTTCACCTCCCTCTTTCTCCCTCCCTCTTTCTCCCCTTCTCGCTCTCTGACAGTCCTGGCACTGTGAAAAGTTCAGAGCTGTCAGGGGGAATGTCAGATGACTGCGTAGAGCTATCAGCTGAACACACACACACACACACATTCTTGAGACTCATTGTCACACTCCTTTTTTTCATGAGAATGAGACAGGCATTTGAAACACAACTCTGGACCGGGTCACACTGATATGTTAATCATCATAAACCATTTTCTAAATTGCCTGTTAATTACTTTATCTAAAATGTGATTTTAATATCTGTTCATCTTTCTGTAGATAGAGACATATCTGTTTTTGCATTCCCGATAACAAAACTGTGTCAAAGAATTGCTGTGTGCAAGCTAGATAGATTTGTTAATTAAAAACACTATAGCCTACCTATGCAGTGTTGTACATTAATATACAATACCTTTACTGCACATTTTAAAGGACCAATGTAATGAATTTTAAAACTTTGTTGAAATTAAATGAAACAATAACACCCTTACTCCAGGAGAAGAAATCCTCAAACTCGAGTACAGTATACAGGGTTTTAATTAATATAAATTCAGTGCAGTAGACCTAATCCAGTGGAAGATGATGCCCCCTGCATTAAAGCTTAATGATATGCTTTATTAATCCCAGAGAGGAAATGTTGGGGTTATTTACATTACATCACACATAGGATCCTTGAAGCAGGTGGTTGTTTGGTGCTTTGCTCAAAGACACCGCCCCAAAATGCTTCGCCTCCTACAATTCCCCCAAAAATGTAAACCTTGAATATCAAAAATGTAATTAGAGACTTTTGCCTTTTATTAGACGGACTGTGAGCAGACAGAAATACCAGAAAGGGGGAGAAAGGACCTTGACTTAGTTACCAAAACAGGCCGCTGTGCTAAGGAGCCAGGTTTTGTTCATGGGGTGCCAGCCTAAGAGATGCCCGGACTGCCAGATTCAGATGTAGCACAGGGATGCTGATTACACAACAAATGTCTTCCTGTCAAATCCTTGTTTGGTGTCGAGTTCTAAATAGCTCTCTTAATACTTGGATGTTTTTTTGATCATTTAGATGTAGATTTGTGACCGCTAATGATAAGAAAAGTGACATTCAAGGCCCTAGTGAGGATTGAACTCACGACCCCTGGTTTACAAGACCAGTGCTCTGAACCACTGAGCAATAGAGCCTTTGACGATGAGTTTAATATGTTTACTATTAATACGACTACACCTTATACAACGTATGGGTGTGTGATTGACTGGATCAACAAGTTACAGGAGTGTCACACCAGCTGATGGGATGCAGAAATTGTTCACCTGGTTGTATAAAAAACTGCATATTGTAAATCAGCAAGAATCCAATATAGTGCCTCCCTAATCCAAACTTTTTTACCATACTATAGGAAACTCTATGGCCAGAAGGGAGCGCTCACTTCAGGGCTCTCAGTCTCAGCTGCTCCTGGAGATGCCTTTCCGCACCCAAAGCCAGCGTATGTTAATGCACATCCACAAAAACACTGTTTTAATCAAGTTAAAGTTTACACAAGTTAATTTGATCTGCTTTTTTTTTTACAGTGAGCGGTATCGAGGGTGTGCATCTGACTGACACCATGAATCAATCCAAGCAGTACTCTTACCACCTGAGGCCACACAGCGCTGGACAAGGGACCACAGGCCGGGGGAAACATTGAAACCCCACACACACACACCTCATGTTCTTTGATGTTTTCTCAGCTGGCTGGCGGCCTTCCCTCTATAGAATTACTTTACACATTGTTCGCTCAATGTGCCAAGCTTTCTAAAATTAAGCCATATGACATCAGAGGCATGACCTCACAGGGTGGGGTTAAGTCTACAGAAATGGTGTGTGTAAAAGATAACCTTTCATCCATTGTGGAACACACACACGCCTTCCCACTCGTTCTCCATCGCTCTCACACACACTGCGATAACCTTTCCTCCTGTTGTGGAGAATGAGGCAGTCTATCAACAGCCGGTCATACAGATAGCCCACCTGCAGCCACACACACACACACTTACAGTTGCTCTCCACACAAGTCTCTAAAGAAACATTTGTGTTTCTTTACTATGAATTTTGTATTACTTTAATATGCATTTGCACAATAATAATCCATCTTGTGTAATTTGATATACCTGAATGTTGTTGTTTTTTAAAATGTGTATTATAAGAAATAAAACAAATATTGACAGAAGGTAGCCCAATGGATTTACCTTTATTTGCTCCCTTTTTAGTAGAGCTTTTTATTTATCAAAAGAGGCCAGGTGCCCCAGTAAGCCCTGGATAACATCCGGCAAAAGTACTCCAAAGAGGCAAAGAATGACAAACAATTACCAGTCTAAGAATGAAGCAATAAAAGAAACACACACAGAAAACAAAAATAGAGGTTGAATGTGGAGTATCCATTTTCACTCAAAATACAAAAACATGTCACTCCACTGTATCTTTGACTGTAGGTTTTGTTGTATGTACTTGTCACATTTGTGCTCTGCGAGTGTTTTGAGTCTTTGTAAGATGTTTGAGAGGGTGTACTGAGCAACACACCGAGTGCCGGTCGGTCAGTACATGTCTCGAAGGCCCAGGTTTCCACGGCGAGCGGAGGAGCTGTGAGCCACGGTGACACTGTAACAGTAGAGCAAGTCGGTCAGCCACTGCTCCCTGGTCGCACCCCGGGAATACCTCTGAAACACACAGAGAGAGAAATAGGTGAATGCACTCCATGAGAAGCTTAATCTCTCCATCCAAATCCCTAAAATCCCTCCCTGTAGTATTGTGAGTAAGAACTGTGTTTACCGTGAGCTGCTGTATGATGTCCTGCAGCAGGGCAGCGTTAGCCAGCAGCTGGTTGTGGATGGGTGTGTGCTGCAGCAGCATGGACAGGATCTGTCCGAGCTGTGGCAGCTCCTCCTCGCTCAGATCTCCAACACGCATCAACTGCAGAACCATTCTCAGCAGGCGAGGAACGCTGCTCAACGCTGACACACAAGCACCCCATATTGCCTCCCTGAAAACATGACACAAAGGTGTTAGAATCCCAATTATTGAAGATCTTTAGCGAATGATAATGGGGAAACTGCAACTGGTGAGGTCAAATGTAATATCAGTAGGAGATTGTTTCAAAACACAGATCAGAACATGGTTGTAGTTGCTCAACACACACCGTTTGTGGTTGGTTTCGGCAGGTAGCTCCTGCTCCAGGGAGATGAGCAGAGCCATCAGGCTGAGGCAGCACTGAGACAGGAAGCGCAGCACGGGCTCAATGGGGAGGACGGACAGGTCCAGTAATCTGGATACAGCTCTGAGCAGCCCGGCCGCCATACTGTCAGGCACCACCCCCAACTTGATCTGAGACACACACACACACACACAAGATATACAGGATGTTTAGTCAATAACGTGTTTTAATGTTTTTCAAATAAAACATCAGTAAAGCAAAAAGAAAAACTGTAAATGGAATGAAAACACGCTCTAAAAAAAACTACGACTCAACAAAACTTCTTACCAGGTATTTGCAGATGCCATTTTGTAAGATGTCAAAGCACTGAGACTTTGAACCCAGAGTTTCCAGACAGTGGCAGACTTCCTGTGAATGAAACAACTACATTATTTCATATCGAAATCATTCCTTTTCTGATAAACTGCTTTCAAGAGGGAGGGACCTTTAAATGTAGGCAATGTGACCACAATGCTTTGTGCTTGTAAATGGAAGAATGAAAGGTTTCTTGTTAGATTTTGGTAGAAATATTTTTACGGCAATGGACTGTAAAGATACATTTTCTTCTTTAAACACAGGATGGTTAAAACAGCAGTAATCATATTGAAGATAAATGGAAGAAAATAAAGAAAAGAACAGCTTTACCTGCAATAATCAAACCACTGATATTTGTGACCCGCTCTATCGAAATCAGTCGGAAGTCGCAACGGCTCATTTCAAAATAAACGTGGATTTACGTAAAAAACTTTTTTTTCGGGGTTCGGGTGTTTTATTTGATTTTAAACAAACAAAGTCTTGACTTTCAGAATATGAAACTTTTATTTCCAAAATCACACGATAAATACATGTTTGAAGCTTTTAAAAAGGGACGAAGACAGGCACCTCTCACTCGCAATCTGCTCTTCCGCAGCGCCGCCCCCCCTCCCTCCGGCTGAAATTATGAATGTAAGAGTATAGTAATCATAGATAACACGGCAGGGTCCGTTACAGTTTGTTTTCATCTGATTTCAATTAAACAAAGTCTTGGCTTTCAGAATATTAAACTTGTTTCGGCAAATTCAGATGATAAATACAACTTTGAAGCTTCGGCATAATTACAAGCGGAGAACGGAGTAACTTAACGTCACTGCAGGCATAACAACAGCCGGTGTTTCTCGTAAGGGTTTCCCCGGTACACAAACACAATACACACAAAATTACACAAACACACACACACACACACAATCGCGAGCTTCCCTCCAAACGAAAATATCTTCCCTCCGTAGTATTTTGATAATTTGCTAATAATCAATCAGATCGATGGATTCCAGAGAAGAGGAAACTTTGAAGGCCTTTTTCTCAAAACGATGACTCGGTGACAGTCATTATATAATGTCACATATTTTGCTTAATATTTGGAGTACAACAACAATCCTGATATCATTAGAAAGCTAGGAATCTCCTCTTTCCAACAGTGTATACAACTCAAAATGTGTCTTCGGGTCAATGCGACTGATGTCGAGAGAGCAGGTCACATTTATGCTGTATCCCTGCCTGAATAAAGTAAGGCCTTTACCTCACAAAAAGACACTAAACAGCATCTAAATGCAATTCCTGCTGAGGTGACGACAAAAAGCCGCAACAAACTTCCTAAAAGTGAAATGTAAGGCTCAGCTTTGCCCTCATAACTTTACATCCAAATCAAATTTCTCATAATCTTTTATCAAATTGAGTTTAGTGCGTGCCGAGGTGCAGCAGTGAGTCGCGGGCCACTGTGTGTCAGAACGTTGCACCTGTTGGCATTCTCGCCGTCATTAAAAACAATCCCGTCTCATTAGTCGAACCAGAGTTGACACAGTCCATCCCTTAATGTTGCCCCCCCCCGCCACCACTTTCCCCCCCCTCCTCTTTCCTGCCACTTGCCTGTGATTGACTCAGACAGGGAGATGAGAAAGGCAGGATCTGAGGGCCTAATTGAGGAGCTGAATTAGTGATTATAAGCCCCCCACTTGCTCACACACACTTGCCCCAGGGCACAGTTACGTTAACTGTAATTTCTTTGCAGAAATGTCACACTCCCATCATGCCATGGGCTCTCATTAGCATTTGTGCATATCCGCTATGCCCGATAACCACACATGTCCAACCTGCGCAACGCGATAAAGGTTCCCCTCTTAGCCGTAGTGCCACGATAAAGCTTCCCCCCTCTGAGCTCTATATGAGAGACAGCGAGGGACCAGCGGGCGCGGAGAGACCACAGCGCTGTCCAGAATATCAACACTTTTTCATTTTCAAAACAATGTCATTTCTTCCACCTCCTTATCCTTTCTAGGTTTTTCTTTAATGTTTCGCCCAAATGCTTCTGATTGGCAGCGGCTTTGGTAAGAGTTTGAATGTATGAAAGGTTTGGGGAAATGATATGAAAGACAGCGAACGCACCTCAACAACATCCCAGTGGTGTGTGAACTGCTCCATCGGGGTGGGGTACAGGCTGAGGGGTGAGAGAGGGGAGGGAGGCAGGATGCTCTCGTCGTCAGCCTCCTGCAGGGCGGCAAGCTTCTCCGTCGAGAAGCCCGTCAGGGTGGAGAACAAGAAGCTGATGTAGTTCACGTCCTCCAGAGCTGCTTCCTCGCTGCCAACCGACCAGCCACTCAGGGATGATCTGGAGAACACATTAAACTAATTATAATCTAAAAAAACACACAGGCACAAAGAGAATCAAACATTTCCACAGCTTGCAAGTCATGCAACTTCAAAAAGTCACACTTTTTCTACCAACCACTTACTTTAATTTCCAAATTACGATTTCAGTCCTATACATTTTTTACGAAAATTATTAGTATTAATCATATTGAGGACAAGGACGCACAGAAACATAGTTATTACATGTTTCCTTGTCGAGAGGGAAGGATGCATCCATAACAGTAAGAAATGTGAGTGAATTACAAGTGTGTTTTGAAGCCCGTGAGGCACATGCAGACATAACTATCATTGAGACGACTGCAGCATTCCAGCCTCCCAAAGAGCTCTTTGTATTATACCCATTACACACATCCCATGGAAAAAATGCCAGGACTCTATCTGAAAGTGCAATACTGCCATCTGATGGTGACAGGCAAGAGTGCTCTGACTCTCCAACCCCAGTTCCCGACAAGTGTATCTGTTCCTCCAGCAGTAAGGTCATTCCTGCACTGTCAAAAATGTCTTTTCTAAACAGGAGTGTCTTGTGGAACACACGTTTTCACGAGTTCATGTGGCCTCTGCAGGTGTTAGGGGATGCTCAAGCTCACCTAAAGTGTACAATACGAATGAGAGAGGCAGCGAGGCCGGCAGAGATTCGTCCGGTGGTGCAGCAGCAGCTCAGATTGGCCAGAAGAGACTGGGACATCTTGGGGAGAAAGTAGAGGAGCTGCACCATCCGCTGCTGGGACTCTGCTGGTAGCAGCACCACAACTCCTTCCTGTGGGTCTTCACACACACACAGAGACGCACACTTTGCATGTTATTACGTAGAAAGAAAAGTCATTACAAACTTTAGGGATAAAAGATGAAGCTTTATCAAGAAAAAGAGAAACCAGGAAAACCAGAATGTGTTCAAGTTAGTAGAAAAAAGGACAGACGGACATAGCTGCTTCTACAGTGACGGCTCAGATAATGAGTGTGGTGTTCTGCCTCTCTCTGACGCACATGCTGATGTCTGAAGTGCTCAGACAAAAGGAGTCTTGTGATGTTCAATTGCTGGCTCTGTGGCAGTTTCTATCAGACCCCCCTCCCTCCTCCACTCCAGGCCCCCTCTGTCACACAGCAGCTTAACTATCTGACGTTCCTCAGAGCAGCGGATATGAAGAGGGGTTTGCCGCTCTCCGCCTCTGGTTGTAGTTCATTTTTACAAAGCTGTGTGGGCCGGGAAACCCGCAGTAACAGCGGCGCCTAGGGAAACTATGGTGTAACTAAGTGTTACAGCCGCTGCTACCTTGTGCCCTTAACTCTGTTTGTGTGTG